CCGATATTGCATATTTACGTACAGACAATATTTATTTCCGGAATATGTTCAATATAATGATTGAAAATAGGATCGCGCGAAGTTTACTTGAAAACTTGTAACTGTCGTATATTCACACACCGACCCGATAAACTATATTTACGCACAGTACAAACGCCCGATAATTTTTTCGGCACTCCCGATACTTTTTTCGGCATTTCCAATACTACGCAGTTACTTGCAAACGATTTATTTGCAGTAATTTGAAACCGTGACTCGGATGCGACCGAGATGCAACAAATGATCTTTATGACGATAATAACATACCATAATTGACTATAACGGTCACAGTATTAATCACAGCGATCAATTGATTCCGTTTTTCTCGATATTTACGATGCCCGATCGCAATTAAATCTGCATTACACAAGCATCCCGACACTACAAACGATCGCGCGCAATACAAATCAGTGACACACTTCGTAGGCAATCGCGAAGACAGTTATACCAACCTCTTTTTCCGATTCCGTTAGAACTAGTCCGATTCCGAAATTCCAAGTTTATATTTAAATTAAATATGACTGTTATGACGTATACGTAGATTTGCGTAGATAGACTGCGCACTTCCATTGAAGAAAAAAATAGCATTTATATAGTTAAGAAAGAACAATAAAGAATTAAACATTTTCCTGTTCAAGGAAAAATAAGAAGAAAATCGAACAAAAACTCTTTTGATTTTATATTATTTTCTTGCTAATGTTGTCTTTATACTTGCAATGGCAGTGCGCAGTCTATCTTATGTATATAAGTCTATGGCTCTAACAGAATTGGAAGCCGCGATGTTCAGCAATGTTCAGATATCTCCACGCGCGCGTTAATGGTGTGATGGCGATCGTTATAACATTGAATTCCGTGTAATGCAAATCGAATCGCGATCGAACATTGCGAGTATTGAAAAAACGAAGGAAAGTATCAATTGAGTTGTGATTAATACTGTGATGGTCATAATTATGTTACGGGCGCGTTAAAATACTATGATATTAACAATTAATATATCATTTGTCTCATATCACATCCTTTATAATTTTAAGTTATTAAGAATAAATATCGTGTCTTCAAATAAGCGTATAGTATCGGGAATGCTAAGAAAAGTATCGGTCGAATGTCGTAATATGCGTAAATACAGTATATCGCGTGGTAGTGTAAATGTGTGACAGTTTCGTCAAGTAAAAACTCCGCGCGACCGTAACTCCGAGCCTCATTAAAGTGAGTATAATAAAATTTAATTACCGAGTTTAATAAAATTAAATTACCGAGAATAAATATTTTCTGCAAGTAAGCATGTAATGTTAAGAATACCGAGAAAAGTCGAACGATTGACGTATTCTGCATAAATACAATATGTAGATCATTAATAGTGGAAAAATATGCGACAATTCTATAAAATAGCTATCGCTCAAGCATTGTTAAAGGAATTAATAAAATAATAAATGTTTATTATGTAAAAGGTCTTCTTGCCAATGTTTTTAAGACTCATATCTTATGTATTTCGGGCTATAGAAATCTGCTCGAAAAATTTATCGCTCTTGTTTGTTTTCTTTTTTTTTTCTTTTGTAAATAACGAGTCACATATATATTGTTCAAAATCAGTTTTTACGCCTGGAAATAAATAAAATATATATTTTAAAAAGCTGGAAAGCAGCTCTTATATAAATTTATCGTTCTTTGTCATTTATCACACAGTTAAGAAATAAGATATTAAATAAATACAAAACTGCACGAATTGAAACACAAAATATTTTTGAGAGAGAGAGAGAGAGAGAGGCAGATTATTCATAAAACAGAATTGGAAAAAGATTACAATTTAACATTCTTAAAAATATTAATTATGATATTTATCACGTTGGTTAAACAATCACGTTGTGTTAAAAAATTATTTAATGAGAACTAAAGATATGTTAAACGTTATGTTAAACATATTATTCGAAAGTTAGCATTACTGATTTGATCTAATTTACTAATAATTATAACTTTATTTTTCTCAAATAATTTTCAATCATTTGTCATAAAAATGTTGTCTAAAAGTCTAGAATTAAATGAATTAAAACATTTATACAAAAATGCAGCGCGTAGCCAATCGTTACAATCTCTATTATATGCCATTGCATAAAATTTATCAAAAAGGTCAATATTGCTTGTGTTTAGGGAATGGTCAATCCCCAGGCTTGCATCACGTCCTTTTGGCTCATGGGCCACAATCTCTTCAACAACGTCCATCCAGTTTTCTGCGTGCTTAGCAAATATTGATTTTCGGGATCGTGCAAATACGAGTAAGCGCCCATTATCAAACTCTGACACATCCTGGCGCATACGCTGATCTTGAGAATTTTCTTCTCCACATCGGTCAACTTTCTTACCTTCTCGTAACCCTCTATGACGTGTCTGCCCATTCCTACGTTGGCCGATTGCAAGATCATGTAACAGAGAACTATAGCCAATTCGAAAATGCGACAAGCTCTGTGACAATCTCCGAAATCGATCACGGCGGCAATATCCTCGCCATCGGAACTCATGATAATGTTATGTTCGTTCAGGTCACCGTGTATGATCCCTTGCTCCAGTCGGTCCATGATCGGTAGTACTTCTTTCTGGAAGGTGACGATCACGTCATGCACCAGTTGCTTATCCAGTGAGCTCTTGATTGCATATGTGAATTGTTGAATTCGAGGCACTGAAGTGAACATCCATAATGTTTTGTGATTATCATAGGCGGGATGATTGAAACCCACGAGGATCTCATCTATCTTGGCGGTAAAATTTCCAACCTTGTGCAACAGTTTATCAGTCATCTTCACATTATATAGAGATTCACCGGGACGGTAGATCATTAATCTTACGGCATATTTCTCCATAGTGTTGTCGCTTCTTAGATTTTCCAGGGAAAAGTAGGCACCGTTAACGTTCTTGATTGGTAACGAACAGCAAATGTTACGTTGATTGAGAAAAATCATTAACTCGGTCTGCGCCTCTAGCACATCTGTCTTCCGGGAATCCAAAGAGTTGATCACCTTGAGAACATAGCCGGCCTTCTCCGTGCTGGTAACGTGCGGATTCGCATGGGTCTCGTCGCACAGCACGTGATAGTTACGATCATCATAAGCATTTAATTCACACACGCTCGTCGCCCTCATGCCGTAGAGTTGTTCCAATAGGGCGACCGCCATCTCCTCGGTCACGGGCGGACGTATGCGTTGACCCGGTATGAGTAGGGTGTCGTTGTACTCCATGTTGCTGCGATGTACGCGGAACAAAAATAGCCGCGAGTTATTAAGGGGGAGAAGCCGGGTCGATGAAAAAGAGAAATATATATATCCCCTACGAAGAGAAGTTGATGAGTAAAGTCTCCGCTGGGATATCTTCTTTGTTCTTCGAGCGATAAATCGTCAAATACTGCACAGATAAGCAATGGCTGTAATATTTGATATGTTGGTGTGTAAGTGTAAGAATAAATTATCAATTGACATTAAAAAAACATCAGAACAATAAGCACACAGAGAGAGAGAGAGAGAGAGGCAGATTATTCATAAAACAGAATTGGAAAAAGATTACAATTTAACATTCTTAAAAATATTAATTATGATATTTATCACGTTGGTTAAACAATCACGTTGTGTTAAAAAATTATTTAATGAGAACTAAAGATATGTTAAACGTTATGTTAAACATATTATTCGAAAGTTAGCATTACTGATTTGATCTAATTTACTAATAATTATAACTTTATTTTTCTCAAATAATTTTCAATCATTTGTCATAAAAATGTTGTCTAAAAGTCTAGAATTAAATGAATTAAAACATTTATACAAAAATGCAGCGCGTAGCCAATCGTTACAATCTCTATTATATGCCATTGCATAAAATTTATCAAAAAGGTCAATATTGCTTGTGTTTAGGGAATGGTCAATCCCCAGGCTTGCATCACGTCCTTTTGGCTCATGGGCCACAATCTCTTCAACAACGTCCATCCAGTTTTCTGCGTGCTTAGCAAATATTGATTTTCGGGATCGTGCAAATACGAGTAAGCGCCCATTATCAAACTCTGACACATCCTGGCGCATACGCTGATCTTGAGAATTTTCTTCTCCACATCGGTCAACTTTCTTACCTTCTCGTAACCCTCTATGACGTGTCTGCCCATTCCTACGTTGGCCGATTGCAAGATCATGTAACAGAGAACTATAGCCAATTCGAAAATGCGACAAGCTCTGTGACAATCTCCGAAATCGATCACGGCGGCAATATCCTCGCCATCGGAACTCATGATAATGTTATGTTCGTTCAGGTCACCGTGTATGATCCCTTGCTCCAGTCGGTCCATGATCGGTAGTACTTCTTTCTGGAAGGTGACGATCACGTCATGCACCAGTTGCTTATCCAGTGAGCTCTTGATTGCATATGTGAATTGTTGAATTCGAGGCACTGAAGTGAACATCCATAATGTTTTGTGATTATCATAGGCGGGATGATTGAAACCCACGAGGATCTCATCTATCTTGGCGGTAAAATTTCCAACCTTGTGCAACAGTTTATCAGTCATCTTCACATTATATAGAGATTCACCGGGACGGTAGATCATTAATCTTACGGCATATTTCTCCATAGTGTTGTCGCTTCTTAGATTTTCCAGGGAAAAGTAGGCACCGTTAACGTTCTTGATTGGTAACGAACAGCAAATGTTACGTTGATTGAGAAAAATCATTAACTCGGTCTGCGCCTCTAGCACATCTGTCTTCCGGGAATCCAAAGAGTTGATCACCTTGAGAACATAGCCGGCCTTCTCCGTGCTGGTAACGTGCGGATTCGCATGGGTCTCGTCGCACAGCACGTGATAGTTACGATCATCATAAGCATTTAATTCACACACGCTCGTCGCCCTCATGCCGTAGAGTTGTTCCAATAGGGCGACCGCCATCTCCTCGGTCACGGGCGGACGTATGCGTTGACCCGGTATGAGTAGGGTGTCGTTGTACTCCATGTTGCTGCGATGTACGCGGAACAAAAATAGCCGCGAGTTATTAAGGGGGAGAAGCCGGGTCGATGAAAAAGAGAAATATATATATCCCCTACGAAGAGAAGTTGATGAGTAAAGTCTCCGCTGGGATATCTTCTTTGTTCTTCGAGCGATAAATCGTCAAATACTGCACAGATAAGCAATGGCTGTAATATTTGATATGTTGGTGTGTAAGTGTAAGAATAAATTATCAATTGACATTAAAAAAACATCAGAACAATAAGCACACAAATTGCAATCCACTAACAAAAGTATGTATCAAAAGCTGATATTATTGTGGCAAAATGATAATATCATTATTAATTGTTTTAACTTAATACTTATAGATTTCTTGTGCAAACGATATATATAATTATTAGATTATATTATTATATTAGATTATTTTATTTATGATATATATTTTTAGCATCTTAAAAATATAAAATTTTCATTAATAAGATAGATAATTATATAAATAATTTAGATAATTAATTCAAAGAATTAAGATAATTTATTTAAAGAAAGTTAATTAATTAATTAACTTATTTAAAGTTATAGATAAATTTACGATATTATACTTTTTAAATATTAATATCTAAAAAAAAATATTTCTTTGCAACATAATTTTTTTTCATTTAGCAAGCATTAATTAAAATTTTTATATTATATCTCATGTTTTACGTATATTTTTTTTTAAATTACCTTAAATAATGTATATTTCTTTTAAATAACAAAAGCAAAAATAGAAATATGTATGAGCAGAGCATGTATGTAAATATATTACTTACCCAGCAGATGCGTGTTTATACGGTCAAAGGAAACGGCATACTAAGTTCTCAGACAGACCGAGCAGTTTACCAAGTTAAACGAGCGATCGTATGCGCAGCAAGTGTAATCCATGCTCCAATCATCATTGACATTTAACACAATGGAAGGGTGCAAACGCACAATGATATTCACATTAGCAGTAATTGGGCGTGTAACACGACACGGCTCTATGTCGCGATGACTAAGAGACACAGAGTCTTATCAAGACTTTGATAAAACCGGAGATATGCGTAAAGGATGGAGATCTACCTGATAGCTCGCGAGAGATTTGCTGAATCGAATGAGTTATTTGATTTGAGAAACACTGATCGGACGACGCGACCGAACTCGTTACCGTTCTTTCGTAAAGGTTTTGATACGGTATCGATATGATCGATAAGGATATTGATAAGGATATTGCGAGTTAGATAATTTATAAAATAATATCAAATCCATTTTTTTATATTTGTTACAATAAATTTATATTTATGAATAATTCCTTTTTATATTATATGTCACTTTTTTCTCTATAATTCTATAAATACAAAAGAAATATATAAATTTCTTAAAATATATATGATCAAAGAAAAAAGCTTTATTGCATATATACAAAGGAAAAATTTAAAAGTTGTTCCGTTTAATCCTTTACACATACTTGACAAAATATATTAAATTTGGAAATAAAGCAATTTTAAATTTTATATCGTATATATATATATGTATGTGTGTGTGTGTGTTTGGAAATAAAGCAATTTTAAATTTTATATCGTATATATATATATATATATAAATTTTGTATCGTATATATATATATATGATACAACATTTAAAATTGCTTTATTTCCAAACACACACACACACACACTCACATATATATATATATATATGTATGTATATATATATGTTTTTTGTAGATATATAAATCTTTTTAAAACAAGATTATTTGTAATATAAATATTTATAAATGTAACTTTTTCCCTCATATTCAAAAAAATCATCACAGTTCTTTTTTATACATTTGGAATAAATTCATTTCTCCATTAACAACTGAAAACAAGAGTCAAACGTACACAAAGCCGGCGGTATTTTCTCCATCAATCTTATGATATTTAAAGCCTCCAGTACATATTTTCGTTTCTTCAATTCATGTATAAGTATTTTTGTATTTTTCTCAATATCAGTTAAAGATTCATTTATAAAGACATGTTCAATTATCTGATTATACACAACGTGATCTGGGCTAAATAATACAGTTAAGTCATTTAGAAAAAGTTTTTCCAGTATTAATGGCGGTAATATGACAATCTAGAAGAAATAAAATAAAATGAATCATTGATGTCAATTTAGAGATGTCTTAATTATTCACATATATAATAGAGGCTGACCTGCCGTTGTTGTTTAATAAGGTCTACAGTTTCTTTGTGCATAGACGTATCCTCGGAACATAATCTTATATAAAGACTTTGTACAAAACTGATGTGATCTCGTTCGATCTCCAAGAACTGCTTGAGAATCTGGATCACAAACATTTCAATAAATAATGCATTAAATTACACCTGTAAAAGAAAGAAAATTATGTGCATTACAGTACCTCGTTAGGTGCTAGTAATCCAATGAGTTCTTCATATTCTTGTAATATTCTGTTTCCAAAATTAACGGTATCTATTTTCGTAATCAACGCAGTTATCAGTTTCATCATTTTTAAAATCGGATGATTATCCAATGTGATATGTTCTGGCATATTAAATCTCGGCCATTGCAATACGATTTCTTTCACTTCCTGATATTGTTCTAAATCGTTAATTTGAATTAACAGTTTTTGAAATAATTTAAATCGATCTTCCTCTGTTACACATTTAGTAATGGCGTGATCAATTAGAATAACAGTTTCTTCTTGCGAAATTCTTTCGGATCTAATTTTATCCTGCTCATCAATAGTTGCTTCTGTGCTATCGTCAGAAAAATCACCCCAATCATCTGTCCATTCTTCAGTATCAATTATGTCAGAGGTAGTAACTTTTTTTAGATCTTCACTTTCGTTAGAATTCGGATTATTAATATCGATCTGTTTTGCAAATTCTTGTCCTTCATTTTTGAGTTTTGTTGTTTCTTCCATAGTCTCTTCAGAATATATACAAGTATTATCTTCTTTCAGTTCTAATGTAGTTATATCTATTACTTTTGTTTGTTCCGTGTTAGTATCTTGTTCTCCATTGATTAAACTTTGCCAATATCGTAATGCTTTAACAATATCGCATTCTTCAGAATTTTGTGCCACAACTATCATATTTCTTATTAGATCTAATGGTTTGTATAAATATAATTTCTCACAATTAGTATACAATTTCTTATACAGTTCTAATGAATAATAATAAAGAGCTGTTTGTATATACAATTCAGTTTGTGGCAAGCTTACAAAGACTTCTTGAGCATCCAAAATGTGATCTCTATTTAAACTCAATAAATACGTCATACCAAATAACCAATCGTCTGCTATAGTATGCTTTGCACATTCTAGGAGTACTGAAATTAATAAAATAATCTCGTATAACTTCTTTACTATAGATAAACATAATTCGTGTTTACAATTAAAGTTTTTATCAACGTAAATTCTCTCTTATAACAATGTGATACTTACAATGATTAATGTCGCTTACTTCTAATCCATAACAAGAAGATTCACTCAACATGGTTATTCTCAAAAGTGCCCGACAACATTTCAATTTTGTATTCTGTATGTCTACCATAGAATATTTGTTGTATTGTGTTTCAGTAATACTTGTCTTACACATTTCATGCAAAGACTCATAAAAGCATGGAAATGTTTGGAGATTTGCATTTCCCGTGTTTTGTTCATTCTCGGTTTCATATTGCATATTATTTTCTAAATTGTTTGTGAAATTAAAGTTCAGTCTAGATTTCCAAAAATTGGTATCACTTATATTTTTTATTAAGCCAAATGTAGATTCTTTTACAATATTAGCGGAACTTTTTACAATTTCTGTTGAAGTTTCCAATATCTTTGGGACAAACTCTTTCATTTCTACTTGTGGCTATAAATGATAATAAATAAATCATTGTAAATTATAATAATGTTATGTTATATACCTTAAATTATAAAAAATATTATTAGCATTGTATTATTTACTAAAAAAAAATTCTTTTACCGTTGTCATAGCATCTGTAAAATCATCTTCGCTTTCACTTTCTTCACCTTTGGAACTTTCAAATTCAGCAGATGGCATCCACAGTTCCAAATTTTTATGTAGCATTTGTATTTCGATCAAATGCATGTGTTCTAAAGCATTACCTAATATATCGCTAGAACCATTATTTATTGCAAACCATAAACACTTTTGTTTAACTTTTAAATCCTGATAATTATTGCAACATCCTAAATTTAAACAAATTTTCCAAATAGGAAGATAATTATTTTGTGCTAATTGTGTACATATTATAGCACATGTATTATAATCTTCAATCTGTAGAGCAAAAAATTACGATATATTACAAAATTTTTATATTTCCATCTTCAGAAATATTGATTTGAAATCAAATACATACAAATATAAT